AGTGAGATATATATATATATATATATATATATATAGGCGTGTACAGTTCGATGACTGAACCTTTATCCCTGTGAACTTTTAACTCCAATCAAAGTCCAGAATTCAAACTGACTGATCTGTCCAAACCGTTTAGGTTACTCAAACAATGAGAATTATGTGGCTTTATTATACATTCTTCCAACATTTTCATCCAATGAATCATTTAAACTTTCACGTGGAAAAACATTCAAGAAATAATTTTGTAACAGATGCTCTATGATTACTAAATGGCACAAAACGGAGGTGAAATAAAGTCTGATATTTTTCCGCCTTCCGGTTACCTTTTATCCCATTCTCTGAAGTGCAAAATTGGCTCTAATATAACACAATCATCTCTGTCATGATGAAAACTAAATGCAGCATTTTCTCACAGACACCATCTGCAAAAATCTGTGGTTCATCAAGCATTTGGAGACCTGGCAGCTGTAGGACAGGAAACCAATGCAGTGCTCAACTACACAGACATGAAGTGGAGACCTACAACCAAATCAGTGTGTAAAATGGCTCCAAAATATCGCTCCATCCTCTCTGCTGGCACCGTAAGTACTCTTTAGGACTCTCATAGTGCTGCCACTGGTTCAGTTTCATTTCTCAGTTATTGCCATGTCAAATGGCTTATTTTCAGGCAACCTGAAATGCCTACAGTGAGACGGCTGCGTTTGGCAATTTACTTTCAATTCTGAAAGTATTTTTACATAGGCCATTAAAAAAAAGCACGTCTGTATTTTTAGAACAAAATCTTACATCTATATCCAGTTGAAACACAGCATATTTTATTCAGCTAAACCCTCTTCACAATCCTCAAAGGCGTCAACATTTACCAAATTGAACAAAACATTACATGGCCTAAATCTTAGTTAGTGGTTAGTGGTTTCTTCTTTTTCAGCGATTTTGTCAGCTCTTGTTTCTCTGCTTTAAAAACTGATATGATTACTGGGCGGTAGAGTCCCCGCTACATTACAGTTGGCAAAACACGTTGGATAAACAGTGTGATTTTGGTATTTTAAGGCTTATTTCTCCTTCTGTTGAGAAATCATGCTACAGTCAATATACTACCGTAAATATCAGAATAAACTGACACTGTAACTGCAAATTCTTATTCCCCTCTGGCCTGCAGCATCAGTAAGCAGACACTTGAAAAGCTTTCTCATCCCGGTGTGTCAAATACTGCCGTTGTGTTAAATGCTATTGGTGTCTTTCGATGCGTGAATTGTGGTAATTAGATGCCCAGAGATGAGTCTTCTTTAAAAGTAAAGTCGAGTAGTAAGTCACAGGATGGTTAGCCAGGGGACTGCAGTTTGTGTCCTGTTCAGGAAGTTTAGGTATAGAGTCTGTTTTCCTCGTTTTCACTTGCTCATTAGGTTTATTTCTCTCACTGGTTAGTTGTAAACACTGATTTGAAGCTGACTGGGAAAACACTATGGTTTGGCTTTAAATCTTACTGCCACATTTAAAAATACCAATTACTGCATTTAAATGTATTGTTAAGAGGTCTGTAAGCATTCATATATAAGGTGGGAGTGAGAGATCTCTCGCTATTAGCATAGTGCCAGAGGACACCTTTTGTGTATCTCTGAGGGGCTTTGATAAAAGTGTTGTTTTTTTGGGATTGAGAATGGGCTGAACTTTGATAACAGGCTAAATTCAGTGATGTAAAAAAATAATAACCAATCTCCTACCTTAAAGCTGTGTGTTTTTACTTTTTCGCTGACAAACAAGAGGAGTAACACTGACGTGCTGCACAGGATAATAATGATGTGTTTTTTGTTCCAAATGAACAGAAGTTACTGACATTGCCTTAAACCATTATCTGAAAGCAGCGTGCACTTGTTTCTGGTCTAATGGCATCAAAAATGCATGAGAGTGCAGCTTTTTCGAGTTAGCACATAGCACTTAAGGGTTAGGGACAGTGTAAGAGGGGATATTACTCATTAGCTAGGGGCAACCTGCTTCCTGCATTGACATCCAACAAAGGGATTGTGTGCAAACCATAAATGTTTTAAGGGTTGAATAAGATTCAGTTGCAGGTGTGTGTTTACAATTTGGTCTATGACCTCTTACTAGTTACATTTATTCGGGGGTTTAGATTAAGATGACAGCTTTTGTTCCCATCAACCCTCTGCAGAAAACTACATTTTTTTTATTTAGAGCAAATCATTTCAGTGGTTCTAGTGTCAAACCAACAAAAAACACATCCTTAAAGCATTTTTTAGAAGGCAGATTTTCAATTTAAAAATTTGAGTTTCCTCTTTTGTTTTTTTGTTTTTCTTTTGTTTCTTCCAGCAGCCTCATACATGCAGCTATGTCCTAAAACCCCATTGTCTCTGGTTTATTGGAGCATAAAATATATTTAATTTCTCTCCAGCAATCATTAAATTATGCTAATTGCACAGACGGATGTTTTTAATTAAACACCACAGGGTTTTAATTGAAATTCAATAAATTAATCCATATATCGAATTATGCCTGGCATTCAATTTCCCACAGTCTCTCAGAAGGACTTTACAGTTGGTCGCTGAGGGGGTAGCCTTGCTTTACAGTGTTTGCATAAGGTTTATTTATGGAGTTTGATCTTGTGAATAAAGGCACATAATCCAAAAGGTAATGCAGAATGATCTTTGCTTATTATTTCTTCCCCCCAAAAAAGCAATCCATAAAGGGACAGGTAGGTATGAGTGGATAAAAAAAGAGTGTGGTTGATTTTAAAATATGTCACCATATGTTCATGTGGTGAATTGGTTTTATATTTTGAAAGTGTGTAGTGTGTTTGAGGCACCAACCTGAAAGAAAAGCACAAAAGAACTTTATGCCAGAATGTGAGATTAAATGTTTACTTGACGTCAGCCTTGTCAGAATATCTTGAGGTGCCATGAAGAATGTGTTTGTTTAAATATGTACTTCTGTAAGTGAAATCTTTTACCCCTGAGTATACACAGATTATGTGCCACTGCAAATGTTAAAGAGGATTGTAGATGGACAAAGATTTGCTTAAATTTCCCTCAGGGTCGGTCTGCTGTGTTGACTGTAGACTTGATAATGGGAAACCTTTGGGAGAAGAGGCTGGCTTAACCTCTTACACGTGTTTTGGAGTCAGAATCAAAGCTTAGTTAACTGTCACTGTTAAGAGGTCACTACTTTTATCCATCTGTGGACTTTTTGCAATTAAGGAAAAACTAAAATTTGAAATTGAGAGGTCAGTTAATCAAAAAGGTAACTAGTTTCGCTCTCCAAAACTTTAAAACAACACTGAAGAAACAAAAAAAAGTGCCGATATAAGGCTAACTAGCTCTGGGTTTTGAAGAGAGGGTTATTGTCTTTTTCTTGCAATTTACGACTCTAATGATGCACTTATGTTGCCCGCTCTTCCCTTTTTTTTTACACCTTACCTACTTAAGGAGGAAATCTTGATTGGTAAGTCGATGTTATCAGCAGATTTAGGGATTTACTTGTAGGTCGGTGCAGGCTAATTATTTACTTCTTACAGGAGAAAGAGCACAGTCATCTGTCCTTTTCTGAGGGCTTTCTTAGTTAGACTGATGGGATCCCTCTTTGTCTGCAATCCTTTTCATTTCTACATAATACCCATTTTTGTGATGTTTGTTCAGTGTTCTTTAAATGAGGCTTTTCAATGGGGTCTATTATTTACTCTTCTTCTCTTTACTCGAGGTAGAGCCAGTAGATCTTTTCACACATAGTTTTTCTCTTTCTTTTCTGCTTTTTGTTGTTCCTTTCATATAATTGTTTTAGTTTAGACTTTCCTTAAAAACTGTTTTCTTGTTGATTTCTTTGACTTTAGTTGAGTTCAGACTTTCTTTCGAGGTTAATCGCATGCTTCAAATTTGCATGTCTTTATCTTTCAAAGCTTTCTGTCCCAAGAAAAAAGAAAGAAATCTCTTCACTGTGTTTTCAAGGGAATATGTGCCTTTGTACTAGAATATTCACAGTGCATCAAAGCAGGTAGCAGGTTTCATGTATCAGTTCACACCTGGCTTTAAGCTGCAGCCTGTTTGTCTCTTTGCAGACTTTGTCGTCAAAACCTGCAAGTGAGATTTTACATGGAAATGGGTCTCAGCATTTAACGAGCCAGACTGTAGGTCCACATGATTACGATTCTGGGAATGACACATCTTCGCCGCCATCGAGCAAAACTGGTGTTTCTCAGGGGAGTGTCACTCTTGACAACAAGAGCAACAGCTGTCAACGTGTGGCCTCGCCAGGGAAGCTAAAGTTCACTGAGAGAGACAATGTCTCTGATTCAGGAAACTCTGTGACCAGCTATGCTTCCTTGTGCAAACCTTACGGGGAAGACGGTTTGTCTGCAACCCTTTTCAGTGGAAATGGCAAGAGGTAATTTTTTTTGTTCTCAATAAATCATCCATCTGAATGAATTCAAGCTTGTTTAGCTGCTGTTTATATGCTCTGTTTCCTCCTTTGAATCTTTAATCTGATGAGTGGAGAATAAAGGGAAGCATTTATTTAAACCCAACCTTGGATACACAGTTGGTTTCTTCACTCAAAGTTGTGAAACATCTTAATGTATTTCTTTTAAAGAGAGCAGATAACCTTGGGGTGTCGGCTAGAGGTTGTGAGATCCCCAAAGACATCAAGCTGCTCAGAGAGGAGGAGCGACTTGTCTCAAGGGCGACCAAAAACCCGGTCATCTAGCAGCAGGAGCAGGAGCAGATCCTCAGGGAGTTCCAGATACTCTGGACGCTACTCTCGAAGCCCCTCGCTTTCATCTTGCAGGTTTTATGTTTCCATAGTACGTCACTTGTTATTTTATTTTGCAGAAATGTCAGTAATCTTCAATAGAATTTTTCCTCATTTTGTCACTGTAGCTCATATTCACGCTCAATGAGTAATTCAGCTGATCTGAGGCGAAGAGGAAGCTACTCGAGATACAGTCCCGACAGGTGAACTTCACTACATGTTTCAAATACTAATGAGTCCTCATTTGCAATGCATGGGAATAAACATATATTGACATTGTTGTTAATTAAATTTTCACTATGTTATGTCTGCCTCCCAGACTGCGAGACAGAAAAAGAACAGCTAGCTCCAGAGAGACAGATGCGAAGCATACACATAAAGTTAGTGGGAAAAGGCGAAGACGCAAATCCTACTCTCCTATGAAGAAAAGGAGGAGAGACTCACCAAGCCATCTGGAAGCACGGCGAATCACAAGGTACAGCTCTACTGGCCTGGTTATTTATAGTACAATGTACAGTTTTATGCCTAAAGGCAGCAAAAATGTACTGCTGGTCCCACCCTCCACCCCCTCGGTTGGACAAGTTCCCAACCTGAAATCTTTCACCCGTGTTGATGAGCTACGTACCTTGAAATGGCATTTAGCCTGAGGATGAGACAAGTGTTGGCTCAGAAGCCACCACAGGGGCTAAAGAAACAGATGGTGACAGAAGGAAATCTGAAATTTAAAAGAAAGGAGAAAGTTGACCATGACTTTAACATGACACTTCTTTTGCTTGGAGAAAAAAGACACTCAGAAACAGCCACAGAAATAGCACAATGTAATTATTATAACTAAATGTTAATAGTGTCTAGTTATCGTTTCATTGTTTTAAAGGCTATGAATGTTTTGGACGCTCCTATCCCTGCAGTGAATGAGTTGGTGACGATCATATAAGATTTCCATATTTTTGAAGATTTTAATTAAAATTTTTAAAAGTGTGCCCATGTAGAAATCAACGAGAGACTGTTATTATGGTCTGAACACATAACAAATGCTATAACCAAAGGATTATAAGGGTTTGGTCAGCACTGGAAAATGATGTGGACACAGTGCCTACAGGGTGACTGAGTCTAGGTGGAGGCACATGGTGGGCTGCCAATACAAATAAATGTTTGTTTGTTTTTTAAATTATGAATAAAGTTATGGTTCGGTTATGTCTTGTCTCTACATCACTTTATCAAGTCTAGGTTAGTCCATGCTTGAGTACCATGTGAACATAGTGGGACAATAAATAATGAAGACCCAGTTATCTTGGTTTTCAGTCATTCTGCTGACCTTAAGCATGTTAGCTTTTGGCCACTAGGGGCAACACATCAAACTGTATACACAACAATTACAAATTATCTTCTGGGTTATTAAGATGACATAAGATAATTTAGATCTTCATTGTCACTGTTACCAGAACAATGAAACACAGTTTGGCCTCTCTTCATTTGCAGCTGTAGGTTTTTACATTCCACATTATTTGGATAGGAGAATGAGATAAATAAAGATAAAAATAAGTTTAAGAGGAAGAGGTAATGCACACATTATACACAGAAACAAAATGTATGAATATATCTACAGTGTAAGGAGTAGGATCAGTGCAGTATAAGGTGCGATGTGATTGGTGGTATTGCACAGGGGTAGGAATGCCGGCTGCTACTGTACAGTTATATAAATAGAAGTAGGAATGTTGATTGTATTATACTGTAATGAGTACTGTTAATAAATAAATGCTGTAATGAATACTGTATATAGATAAGTAGAGTGCAAGTGTCCATGAGTGTTGACAGCACAGTTAACTTTCAATCAGGGTGGAGGTAGGGCATGTTGGGTAGAAGCATGGGTAGATGCTCCTATTGAGTCTGTTTGTCTTTGACCTGATGGAGGTGTAGCATTTACCAGAGGGAAGTGGGGGGGAAGCAAGTTTCCAGGGTGCAATGGGTCCTTGATGATGATACTGGCTTTCCGCTGAAGTCTGCCGGTATGAATGTCTCAGATGGGGGTTAGTGAAGTTGGGAGATTAAAGAGACACAATGTTTTGTTTACCTTGTTACATCACTTATATTTTTGGCTCTCATTAGTGCCAGGAAGCGACCCATTCCTTACTTCCGACCAAGCCCATCCTCTAGCAGTCGGTGCACCAGCGTGTCATCCTGGAGCAGCCTCTTCACTCGCAGCCGCAGCCGCAGCCCTCTGTACAGCATCAGCCGCAGCAGGAGCAGGAGCCAGAGCCACAGCTACTCCTCCTACCGGAGCTACAGCCGCAGTTCATCGTGGAACTCAGTCTTTGGGAGCCGCAGTCGCAGCCGGAGCCGCGGTTCGTTGAACAAACGGAACAAAACCAGGCACTAGGTTTCTCAACATTAGGAGACCAAATCTGCAGTTGTGGTTCCCGTTGAGAACGAGGACAGAGGCTGTCAGTGCAATCAACTGTGTGTGTCTCAGTGCTCAGCTTTGATGCTTGAGTGGAAATGTCTTAGCAGTGGGCCAACCACCATTGAAGCAGTCTTGTTCACTCTGCCCACAGACAGCTAGGAGACTGAATGTCTTTTTGTCTCTTTTGCTTTTGTATTGCATCCTTTGCATCTGCACTCACAATGGCCTGAGACTGTTCATCTCCTAGATATTTACAATGCAAGCTGCATATAAGAAACATTATTAATGAATTTAGTGACCTAACATCCCTGTTCTATATATTTCTTTCCAGATGTCTGTACATTTCACTTTAATTTATTTTTGCAAATGCTTTAACAGGCTGTTATTTATTTCATAATTTATGGCACATAATGCAGCTTAGTAATGGGTTCAACAAGCACTGAAATTACCTCATTCCCATTTTGATTTTGAATTGCAATATATGTTTTAGCCATATGCAAGTGCACAATGCATATGGTTAACATGTAACTAATGTTTAACATGACATCAAGCATTTAGCATACCTGTGTCCTAGTTTTTGCACTAATAGATGAAGCATAGAGGTAACATTTGAGCCGTTTGATCCACTTACAAATGATTTCACAGGGATCGTTATCAGGAATAAAGAGAGGGTTTGTCGCTCTGATCTCAACACTTCACAAGGTGGAGGACAAACATGTTTCCGCCTCCTGACAGCAAGCAAACTGGCTGTCAGCTCAAATGTCAAATTAATTCATCCTCTGATCAAGTGGAAAACAATTGAAATGTCAGTCCGTGTAGTATAACAGAGAGCGATCGAAACAAGGGGAGATTCTTTTGACAAAACATCTGATGAATTTGTTTTGAGAAAAGGATGTTTTAAATATAAGATGATGAACTTGTTTTTGTGCTCCAAAGCAGATCACATTTGTAGCTATGTTCATGTAGGGAATAGTCTCTGACTTTATTTGCTAGGTCGTTTTTTTTAATTAGGCACAGAGAAAAGCTGTACTTTGCTGAAAATTAGTCTAAATTTGCAAACAGCACACATTCCCAGTTTATTTGGAAAATTGTGTTCTTGCTGCACCACTGGAATAAACCCATAAACCATTATATTTTGAGTTGTTACTCAACAGAAGGTCTAGTTTTGAGTTGTGCAGCACTATACATATTTATTACTTGTCTAATATTTATTGTTTCATTGTAACTCCCAGTAGTAGTCAGTCTTTCTATGCAACACTGTCACTTTGTAGTTTTTATGACACTGCTGTAACTGATTTTGTTGTAAATTATAATCCGGCTCATACATATTGTTCAACACAGACTGGATGAAATGGTGGAATATTATCCTCACTGTCTAAGCTTTTTATCTTTTGTGTATTTTTAAAGCACAAATATGACATTCTTGTAAAATATGCTCATCTGCTTTCTTGTCAAGAGTTTAAAGATCAATACCACGCTCAAGTCTGTTTCCTAAATATAACACCACAGCTAGAAGATAGAGCCTAACTTATTAAAAACACTGGAAAGCCAAACTAACCAAAGGTAACAAATTTTTCACCATAGTTGAAGCCTGCTAATTACCAACTTACATTTTATACAATAATTCACATTTTTAAAAACTAGCAAATGATCAAAAGAAAACTTTCCATCTGCAGTAATTTATATTTCTAGGCACGACTCTGTTCTGGGAACTCGCTGTCTTTTTGTGTCAAAACAGAAAAAGATGAGACCAGAAGCACACAACAGGGTTCACATTAGGGGTGACACTGATTAGCCAGAAACAGCATGAGAGGAGGAGCTAGGGTGGGTTGCAAAGTAGCTTGCAGGTATGCAGCAAATGTGCACAGACTAAAACAAATTAAACATACTGTAAGCTAATTGGGTGTGTTGAAAGGTGTCAGATAAGGCTGATGTGGGCTAGCAAAGAGATCAGTGCATTTGCTGGGATTGTGTCTGAGCTTGAGTCTGTGGCCTGACTGAAGTAAAGCTATGCACTCCAAGGTTACTGCAAAACAAAGAAAACTGTTAATTAGTGGGTATTAAAGCTTGTAGTAGGTTGAATGTGTTGCCTTTGGATAGAATCACATACCTATTTCCTGCCAACCAGCAGCTGATCACTATGTCACAGACATGAGCGTGGTAATGTTCTCATTTCGCGTTTGCATCTCCTAAGGTATCAAAAGATTTCTTCAAAGTTAATTTTGAGGGTGATCCAACTCCATAGTTTCAATCTGCAAAAAAAAAGTTTGAAGCTGCCTTGGCTTATGATTAAGAGTTATATTTCTCAATCATTTCAAATCCATCATCCTGTCTGCGTAACTGCTCCAGGCCTGACAGACTGCTCTCTATGCACTCAATACTCTCAGCTTATTTCCCTGAATGTCATCTAAATTGGAGGAATGAGGGAAATATGAGGCAGGAAGAGGAAGGAACTTGGCACAGAACTCATTCATAAACTATAAACTGATGATGACTCGTGACAAGCAGCGTTGACTAGGAGCCATGGGAAGATTTGTGCAGTCAAGTTGACAGATTTTTCTAGATGGGCACCCAGGGCAATGCCCCCCCCATTTCTCAATGTAAAGTTTACATCAGTTCTTGTGCAAAATTATTTTGTATATGTGGTGTAAATATGCATCTGCATTGTATAAATTATACAAAGGGTGTGACTATTTTGTTTAGAGAATGTGATTGGAGCCTCCTTGGATGTTATAGATAAAATGTATCAACCAGTTTAAGAGGAAAAAGAAGACGATATGCATCAGTCAACAGACTCTAGCTGTCTTTGTGCTTAATAAGGTCCTTTTGATCATGTCTTTTGCTATTTTAAGAATTTCAATAACAAGCTCATATAGCAATAGTGATTCTATGTTATTGTAAAATTATGCATATTCTCCCCGTTTTTCACATGAACGAGCATACCGAAAAAGCATATTTTTCATACTGTCACGTTTTATCTTGCGTCAGTGTGAACTCTACATTGTAATGTCACCTTGAAATTGAATCGCCCCCTCTATGACCCCATGAAATTTCCTTTTGACTGTGTTCAGAAAAAGCTATATAAAATCGTGTTCTGAATGATGATGATTGCAGTCTTGTTTTACGTTCAAAAAGAAAAACAAATCAATACGCTCGGATCAGTAAACAGATTTCATAATCACAAGTCGAGCTCTTAGCTGTTTTGTTTTATCTGTACCGTGACATCAGTGCGTTTGACGCGAAGCTCTGCGTTACCTTCTATTAAAAAGTCTGTGAGTCACCAGGGAGCTCAAACTGCATGAGTGACATGTGGCCTCTGCAACTTAGTTTGGTAAAGAGTAGGCTTGGCCTTGATCAGCTGTTGCGCGCCCACTGTAAAAGAAAATCGTCACATCAACAAGCCATATTTTTTCTTAACTTACGCCTGAACGCGTATGTGAATGCTAAAACAAATTCTAAAAAGCATAAATATTGCGAATAGAAAATCATTGTGTTTTGTTACAGTGTTTTTGTCTTGTGATTTTAAGATTTGGTATTACTACTTTAATGGATATTTTTTACAGCGCGCTTTCTCCAGATCCTCCCAGCACTTTCCGGACACTTGTTCAGTGCAGACTCATCTGCTACGAGGTATAAAATCAAGCGCCAGAAGAAATGAGATCAGTTCAAGAAACTCGGAGACCACTTCGAAGTTTGTTTTTGGATCAACAAATGTCTTATTGAGTAATGGTGATGTGCCTAACCCAAACAATATAAAGTTTTCCTCATAGAGAGAGAGTCACTTTTTATTTTTATTTTTTTCATTTTGCACCAATACCAGAACTTCATTACTGGATTTGAACTCAAGTGGATATGGCAGAGGGAGACTTTTACACGACGGGAAACCGACAGAGGTTTCCCAGAGATCCATTTGGAGAATCGCCATTCATTGATCAGTCTCCATTCAGAGACCAGTCTCCTTTCAGGGATCAGTTAGCGTCTCGGTTTATGGAAGATGAATTTGGGATGCCACCTTTCCCCGATGATCTGTCGATGGACTGGCCGGGGTGGGCTCGTCCGGGCCGGCTAAGCACGCGTCTCAGCTCCTCGCCCTTTAGCAGCAGTTTACGCACAGGTTTTCCCCCGCGTCAGACCACGGGAGGCCCCCAGCTGTATACCAGCAGATACGGCGAGCCCTCCTCCCGGAGTTCACCCACCACTACTTGTGGGGAACCCTGGAAAGTCTGCGTGAACGTCCACAGCTTCAAACCAGAAGAGTTGCACGTAAAAACGAGAGACGGATTTGTAGAAGTGTCAGGTGAGTTGGAGTATGATTGGAGAAATGAAAATTAGACGCTTTTCCTGGAAGAAGAAGTTCAATGAGGATAACAGCTTTAAATGAATCATTTAAAAAAAAAAAAAACCTTCTGGGGAAATTTGATGTCTCATCAATGACACGCTGATATCAAAATGCAGTATATCACTGTGGTAGTCAGTTCTATTTATATGACACATTTAATAACATGCTTCTAAATTCCTTTAGACCTGAATTAGCAGGTCAAAACGTTATGTTTAAAGCCTATTATTAAATATAAATATCACAAATAGAGTGCCATGTACTTGTGAAAGCACATATCTTCATAAGTACACCTGCCACTAGCAGCCTGAAGTAATAGTCTTCTTTAAGAGAATTTTTTTTTCCATTATAACTTTCATTTCTTGTGTTGTATAGATGCTTACAGTTGAAGAACAGCAAATCATTCTTGCATGTTTAAAATGAAGTAAAAGCATGCCTGTTCATCTACTAATTTAACATTCCAGGGTTTCATGAGACTATGCAAAGTGTTTTTATTTGTAAAGACCAAGCATCATGTAAAGTCATAGCAATGCAACCAAATCAAAGAGAAAATCAGTATTCAGTTTAAAGAAAACTTAAAGACAGTATATCTGAAATTCCTTTTTGTAATCTGGTCATGAAATATCTGATCTTTCACTTCAGCACCATGACTGACACAGTACAGTGAAAAAGCCTCAGTGGTATGATATGGCCTCAGAATTAATGAGTCTCGATATGGAAGAGTGGGACAGATTTGGGTGACTGGGACTTCAAGGCAGGCAGATCCTCAAGCTCAGACACCTGTTTTGGATTCTTGGAGAATCACTCCCACAGCCACCCATGAGCTCAATTTAGATTTAAGGCAAGGCCATGACAACAGTCTCTGTTTACAATAAGAAGAGTTGCTCACTGTCACTAAACACCAGAGAGAGAATGTTCTGGAAATAGGGCCTCACTTTTACCCACAGTTCTCGGGTAGGTTGTGTCTCTGTTGTTGTCACGTTCCTCCTCAGTCACTGATTACTGGAGTGAGTTCTACAAATTGCTTCCTTAACTCAGTGTTTCAAGAGACAGCTGAATTCCAGGGATACCCAGGACTGAGGAGGCCACAGAGGACAGCGGCCCCACAGCTCCGAGGCTTTTTTTTAAACACATTGTTGGTATGCCAGTTGGGTCATTCACTCAGCGCCATGTTGGGGCTGTCTGTCATGGTGACTCATCGTGATCAAGAAGTGTGACTGTGAATGTAATACAAGCAAGTTAGAGGTGTTCAGTACATGAATGAACTAGTCTTTTTAACATGTAAGCATGTTCAAAGTTTACTGAAAGAGGAGGCAAAGATTGAAAGAAGGCCAAGCTGAATACAAATATTGTCTGGAAAAAGTACAGTGTAGCTGCATTTTAACACAGATCTTTGGTTTTTTTTATATTTGAGTTAAATTAGAATATCTGGTCTTAGAGACCCACACTGGTGGTCTGTAAAGTAACTCCAAGCAACTTTGCAGACCATCAGATTCACTGAAACCTGAAATGCAACACAGGGAGAGCTCGCGTGTCCCCAGCAAGAAAATGTCAGCACATGTGTTTTGTTCAAATGCCTAAAATTAGTTTCTATTTATATCTCCTTGTTGTTGGTTGCTCAAGAGAAGTTCAAGAGAAAAGAGATGAACATTGGCTTGTGAAGTCCCATAATTTAATCCAGATTTTTAGCATTTTACGATTATTGTTGGTGGCCGTATAAGTAAGTGACCGTACTTATATGATAGATTGGACGACTAAGTTGGTAATAGATTCTTAATATTAATAATTATCAATTAATCCATAATATGTAGAACTTATTAAAAGGCTTTGCCCAAGTTGAGATAAGAATTTTTTTTTTTATGTTAGCCTTATTTTATCTGCTAATTTGCCTGTTTTTGTTAGCAGGATGCTTTGCTGTATTAGTGCAAGTAGTGACACACAAAAAATGTCACACACTAAAATGGGAAAACAGACTTTTTAGAGCATCTGTAGCCACATAGTAAGGCTTGTCATTTTTCAGATACTTATATAAAAAATGCTACAAAAGGCTTGAATTGGCTTGGCTGAAACCTTGTAGGCAGCGTCTAACTACAGTTCCCTTTGTTAGGCTCCACCTATCAGTCAAAGTGGCCGTGCTTCTTATATTGCAAACTAAAAGACTTATTACAATTTAAATGAGTGAGTTACTGTATAATAAAATTAATGTTGCAAAGAGCTATGAAATCATAGCTCTAACTTTTACAGATTATACAGCAGTAAATTAAATCACCCATGCAAAGGACATTTGCTTATATTTCATGATTTGAAAGGCACGGAAAAAGTCTTTTTGATCAAATCTGCTCTAATGGAATATTAATATATGAGTATATACTCAATAATACTTAATAGTAAGTAAACAAGAAATACACTAAACATACTGAAGAACTGAGACTAAAATGAATAATGTGAGAAACATTGTTAAATAGAGCTCTAATTTAGTACTGTGACCTGTGGTCTGATCTGCATTTGATTAGATTGGCCAACCTTAAACTACACACAATATGCATTGACCTTGACACAATAAAATTACCTCAGCACAGTCGATTCCTGCAACCAGCTCATAGAAAAGTCTAAATTACTGCGTTTTGTGTGTCTGTCAAGTTTACCTAATTTCTCCTCGTGTTACTAAATTATGGCACTGAGTAATGGCTCGAAAAGTATAACGTCATTATCTTATCCTATTAGATGTTTCATAAAATTTCTTTATAAGTAGCACAAAAAGCTGTATCCTCTATCTGCAAATAAGAAAACTACACCCAAGCTCTTGATATTTGTATTGACAGAAAATTGTATCTGTTACATAAAAACACCACTCTCCTCCAAGAACATGATGTATTACACATCTGGAATCTATAATCTCTGTCGTAAGAAACACATAAATGAGGGCCTTGTTGGACTACTCCCCTGACTAAATCTTTAATCAGGGGACCGATTGTACTTCTTAAGTCAGGATGAAGTTTTCATAATTATCCCATGACATCACTGCTGATCGTAGCTCACTTCTCTCCAGAGCATCACATGTTCTAGCCTCGATCTCTGGAGTCCAGCACTTTGAGCAGCTAGAAACGTCACTGCAGGGGTATAGGATAGGACATAGTCGAGCCTGTCGGGTATACAAAGGGGTCGAGGGGTGGGGCAAGCCATGCTGCTGGCAGCGGCATTGACATTTAGCAGTCCAGGAGCAGCTGCTTGCTAAGGCTGACAAACAGACTGGCCATAAACAGTGAAGGAGAAGATGGAAGAGGTGCTTTTTAGGGTTATATGTTCTCTCTAACATTAGTCTCTCTGCTGGGGAATCATTTTAGGAAACAGCTAAAGAGGAAGAAAGAGAAATCATGTCAACAAGTTCATTGCAATCACAAAGCAAACATTCTGGAAGGAATGAGCAATGGAAAACTGCACGATGTGTGCCAAGCTTTGAGCTCAGTTATATCAACACCTTTTTTTATTTACACCATACTAAAGATCTAAGAAGTCAAAGGTGATGGGTGGACTCTTTATGAGCTGTGTCCATTTGAACTGGTGACAGAGACATTTATAATGCATGACCTTGCCTAATCATTGCGCAACGTCAGACTACATCATTTCTGAAGTTGTGTTCACTCCTTTTCCCAAACAGGAAAGCACGAAGAGAAACAGGAAGAAGGTGGAATAGTGACAAAGAATTTCACAAAGAAGATACAGTAAGTATAATTCTTGAGCTGCACCATTATCATTTTGTTTTCCTGTGCTGGTGCTCATAATGGATGAAAAAGGCTCCAGTTTTCATTATATATAGCCACATACTAGTGCATGTCATAAAATGTAAATATTGTTATGATACAGAGAACTCTCCTGACCTGAACCCCAGATTTTTATCTTAGAAATAATTTTAATAATTTGAGATATGGATTTCTGCTTTTCAGGAGCTATAAACTGGAATCATCTAAATGAAAATAAAAAGCATTTTGAAATATTTCACAACAAATAATGACTATAGAATATGTGAAAGTGAAATGCATTGCATTTTAGACATTATACTTACTAATACAGCCCAGTGCAATGTTAACAGCAGAGCTGTTTGTTGTCAGCTGTTATGATTATGGGACAATTTTCTTTAATGACTTTGGACAAATAGAATTATTAGCATAGTGATGTTTTTGCAATGGCAAAAACTTACTCGTACCTTTCTGCAATTTACTGTGTAAATTAAGCTCTCTGTTTTATAATGTAAGAAATAGCTGTTGTGGATTGGCATTGTGTAAATAAGCTTGAAATGAAACTTACACAACAAATCAATTGCAAAGATAGGGTGGTCAGTAACCAGTGGACAAAATAATAGGACAAAACTCTTGTACACAAAATATTTTTTCTGGCTTTCACTTATTTACATATTACAGTCACTCCTTGAATGAACCACTGACAGCTCAAACACAAGAAGGAAGCACAAGAATCTTATAGTTTTAAACGAAATGTTACGCTCACTTCCAATTCCACATGAGGGAGAACCAAGCCCAGGATATAATACAAAGTACAAAATCAAATCTTCAATCCAAAAACAGGCATCATGCAAAATGGAGCAGGCAGCAAGACAAACAGTATTGTAGGGGATCAGTCAAAAGTCAAAGTCCAAAAACAGAAGGCTGGGCACAAAGAAACAAGAAAAATCTCAGGAAGACTAAGACACTAAAAATTAAGACCTATTATCTGGAATAATCTGACAACTTCATCTGCATTTATGCACACTGATGAGACTATTTACTGGCTGAACACATGCGTGGCACAAAAAGGGTGTGAAACAGAAGAAAGCATGGGAGTGGAACTAACTGACAACCAGAAATTTCAAAATATAAAGGAAATAACAAATACAGCACAGGTGACACTAACACAAGGAGGGATACTACGTAGAGAAAACAAAAGTGACAGCAAGAGACAAGTATCAATGATTCCAAAATAAAACAGGAAATAATTAAACAGAAACTCCACATTTTATATTTACCATTTAGTGGGTGTAAGTGTCGCTCCCCCAGTTTACGGTTTAAAACAAGTTCATTTCCCTTTAAAGTAACCTGCCTTTAAGCCATTTTTCTTCTGATTGGCTGCGCCTCATTTACCGCAAGATTGAACAGGAGGTGAGTGGGGCTTCTGTGCTCACAGTCAGAGCTGCATTCCTCAGATAAATATTTATTACAGATATCTTTTGTGTTGCATAAAATAGAGCCAGGACTTTACAGCAGGAGCTGGAGCTTTTTCTTCTTAGGGATTACCTGTGATTTCATCTTTGGATATATTTAATAAGAACAGATTGTAACAGTGTGAAGAACATAAAAATAAAGAAAAGCAGAACTGGTGCTCTTTAAAGCCACAAGCTACTTATCCATCAGATTTCTGACCCTGAAGCTCCCTAATGCTGATTTCTGAAAAAAGATAAGCCTCCTTTCCTTCAGAAATCTGTGGAAAGCGCCTCAGTATTACTTGACTGTGCCAGGTTTAACTGGGATTGAAACATCGTTCTATAAACACCACAAAACTACAGCCAGAAAGATAACGCATAGTTGGCTCATAGAAGAAAAAAAAAGATAGAAGCTAATTTAGTATTAAATATTAGCTTGTACTAAAGTTTTATCCCGACTTTCTGTCTTCTTTGGTACTTTTGTCCCTCTTCTGCACTTTTATTTCTACCTTTTCGCTAATTACAGATTTGAAAATGAACCACTGTATGTATGTAAAGTTATGGGCGACATGTCTTAAGTGTACCCCGCCTCTGCCTATAACAGCTAAATTGGACAAATGGTTGAGAACATGACAGTTAGCTTGCTTGCTTGCATGGTTTTCATATTAAATAGTCCATTACAGCAGAGATCTTCATGTAGTTTGAGAATCATGGAGAAAAATGCCTTTAATCAATGAGAACTAATTGGAGGGAGATAAGCCAAAGAAATGCTCGACCAATGTTATACGAAGTTCATAAGTGGAGGAGTATGTAGATACATGCAGAAGTATTCGCTTGTTGAACAACATGAAAACGTCCTGCATGTATAATTGAATGTTTTACCTGTCAAGGTGAATTCTGCATTCCTCGTTTTAAATGTTATGTTGAACTCTCCAGTCAAAACACCAAACATGACTAGAATCCTAAAGTAGGTTTTACATAGACAAAGCAGCATCAGTGCAAAGCAGGAGTCTCTTACAGAGACTATTCATATGGTAACTAATCCAACCCAAATGAGCAACACAATAGTTTCCACATGCTGCCTGCCTCTAAGCCTTTGCCCATTTAATTGGGCAGTGGAAAGACTTCAAACGGAAGCGATAATCGTCAGTGCGAATCACCATCTCACTGGCACGTCAGTCCAGTTCTACTAATTTCATACTGGCTAATTAATAAGCAGGTGCTCAAGCCCCTCACTGTTCATATCACAATATTTTTAATTGGAATGCCTTCAGATCACACCTGGGCTCCTCAGCTGAATATACGGGACAGGCTGACTATACAGAGAACAGGAGTGACTGGTGGTGTCAATGGGTCAAATATAAATAACTGTCCTCGATACACAAATACACGGGCTATATGAGAATGAAAAGGAGGAAGAGAGAGAGTTAGCATGGTAGACACATTCTTCTGTCTCGAGATTTGATTGGTTGTTGATGTCACTTGAAGTGCTACAACCTTCTTATTTTGGCTCTTCTCGTACATATGCTGTGTTTAGTGGCACTAAAGTTTTGTGTGGATTATTATGATTTGCAGCAGCCTGTATGCTGCATTTTACAGCGGGTAAGCCAATTGTAACTATTCTTTATATTTAACATCCTTGTCTGCAAAGTAGGTAGTAACTAAACCTTTCTTTCTGTATAATGTAAGATAAAGGTACAAAATGCAGATATTTATCTGCCTGCTGCTTCTGTTTGCACTCCAATATGAAGAATTCAGAGCAAAAAACGTTTGGTTTTTTTGGGGTTTTTTTTTTAAATCTTGCTTTGTTACGAGAAAGAGGTATCTCACACCTAAAGTCTTTTGTAATAATAATAATAATAATAATAATAATAATAATAATAATAATAACTTCAAAGAAGTTGCACCAAGAAGCAGTTTAGCTCTTCCCAAAATAATAATAATACAGGTGACAGAAAGATTTTGGGGCTACCTTAAAACTTTGCCATGAATTTATGCAGTTTGGACTACATGGATGGGATACATGGAAGGCTAGACATTCCAGATGTCAATGGGCTCACTTTCTGTTTGGCAGAAACTTGGCATTGATTTCTATTGTCCCAAATTTCTATACCCCCAAAAAATCTAACTCCATCTGAGACTTATTCTGAAGACCACATGTGCCCGTTTTGACAAAGATTGAGAAAAGAATTTGACCTGTAAAAAAAGAATTTTCCATTAAATTAAAATGGCAGAAAGTCAAGTATGATAGAAATTTACATCATAGTGTGCTTTGAACTCTTTTGCTTAAAAAAATTCCATCTTCTTTTGAAATTGTAAAAATGCACTTTTAACTTTGATGGCGTTAGAGTGTTTGAGATGCAGACAAAAAACAGAGGATTGGTCTCAATCACATTACATGAGTTTTGATTCAAGGGGCTAGAGTCCAATGGCAAGAGAAAAAGAAGGGTATGCGTATTGTTTCAACCCTCAGGATGTAGCGACATGTACACAAATGAATTAAGCCAGGTTTTACAATTATTAAGACAAGGATTTAGTAGGAACAGATACTTCAGTGTGGGGAGACAAAACCCCCACAGAGTCTGCTGGCTGAGGGAAATTGAGATAGTCGGAGGGTTTGCTTTTTTTTAATGCTTATCAGGTGACACTGAGGAACAGTTGCTTGTTGCTTGGGCTTGTGAAACAAAAACAAGAAGGAAGGAGCACAGAACGGCATTCAGATGTAACAGTAAGAAAAGATACAAAGATTACAGGAGTTTTGCTTCTTGGTCCTCAATTGTGACACAAAACACTGGAAACAAAACAAAACAAACTAGTAAATGTTACATGAGACAGCTGCGGTGAATAAATGCAAAAAGTTAATACAGTATAGGGCATAGCACATGTTCTCGATAAATAAGTGACTAGACAGCTTAGCTTAAGCTTACTGAGAACTCAAGGGTGACTACTTCTGCTCTCCAAACTGAAAAATTTGTAAGTTATTAACTAAAAATGTTGTTAAATCAGCCCTGGGGACAAAGATAACTTTGAGGTCATGCAGCTCAGCTGCAAAACAACAACCTTGCTCTGTTTGTCTGTGAAAGTGTGAATGTTTTGTTATTCAGTAATCTCTTTTTTTCTGTTTGCTTCTATTCTCAAAAGACAAATAATACTGCTAGGCTGACTTAGCTGAAATGTGTACTGTGTGGGATGGAGGAAAGGGTTATATGCGCTACACACACATACCTCATGAACACCCACGCTCACTGTGCCAGGTCTCACTCGTCTCTCTGTGTCTCCGAATCTCTGCAGGGGGGGAAGCATATTGCCTAGTTTTTTTGGCAGCTTTACAGAATCAATGCTTGAGATAAACTGTACTCTTGCCAAAGTTAAATAAACTCCCCGAGCTGGAAAGATAAGGTTTCTGCTGGAGTCCCACGTAATGGACCAACTGAGTTATTTGACTTTGTCAGAAGGGGCAAAGATACATTTAAAATGATTAAAATTATTCAAGGTTGCACACTTAATACTGGCTTACACAAACCTTTCTGAAATCCTTTTTGAATTATTACCTGAATTAGAAGGAGTTGACAGGCCCAAGATCCACTTTTTTTAAGAATATGCTGAATGAAAATGTTTGACATGAGTGTTGATATCATCCAGTACACACACAGCATGCAACATAAGTTCTGTTTGTCTTTAAAACTCTGAGTCTCTGTTTGCTGTCCCTTTCCCTTTGCACTTTTATCTCTTTATACCAATTGTTTGTCTTCTGAATCTAAATTGGATTTAGTATAATTCCACCACAGGATACTGTATTATGATATTCATGTTATTGTCTGCTTATATTCATCTGTTCCATTTTTCTATTGGCAACCCTGGATTTTTGTGTTTTTGTGCCTGGTCTCATTTTTGGTTTTCTGGTGTTGCTACTTATGGATTAGTGAGCTCAAGCTTCAGAGTTGTTATTAAAAGGTAACTTTAAAGCTCAGTGACACACTGAGCTGCGTATATTAATAGATATGACTTGACCTCTCAGCCTGTGTGCGTCTGTGAGGTTCCTGAGTGTATTCTGACTTGTATTTCACAGTGGAGTGGTAAGTCAGTAGAGGGTCCTCTCTAATTAAATGGAGGGGAGGGCCACAAGTCTCATCCTCTGAACATACCAGTCTTGTGTTTATATTAACTCCCTGAAACACTTGGCTGCCCGCACAGAAACCCTCCAATAACCATATTTGGCCACACTGACAAAGAACAGAGATCACCCCCAACCCCCAGTTTTCAGAGTACCTTCAGTCAAAAATGACTGAAGGTATTTTCTTTTTTCTTTACAATAGGATTTAAATAACTTACTTACCAAGCATGAATGTTGTTTTAAGCTGATGAGAATACTATCATTCTACATGAATATGAAGTTTTAAACAATGACATCCTTGCACATAGTAACTTGGGCTTATTTTCCCTTCAACACTTTCTATCCTCCTGCAGGTTTTGGAAACCAATTATCCCACTATACTTTGGAAAATCTAACATTTTCTGTATGAGAGGTGTCAAAAAATAAAGCAAACAGCCAGGAGAAAAAAATGCTTGACACAAAATCAGCTGTTACCTGGATGTGAGCTGCAGATTAGGAAAGTATACACAGTCAGAAATTTACAGGTGTTAAAATTCTGCAGACAGACTCGAGTAAGGCAGTCTCATTAACTGATATCGAAGCTTCGTTTCCTGGGAACGCTACACCTGGATCGAGTGTGTGTGTGTTTGTTTTCCTCTCTGTGACAGAGATGGGGGATTTTTGAAGAATATCTTATTTTTGAAGGGAGATTTCTCCTGTTTCTTTTTGTGAGTTAGAATAAAAGCTACCCAAGGTGCACAGGGTGACTCATTTCAAGTCCTTTTTTGTCTCACCTAGATATAAAGTGCCAAAATAATTCGACTGAGGGTTGTTTAGGAGTTTTGATTAATTATCAATAAAAACCTCCAGCATTCAACACCACTCGTTCTTACACATGGAAATCTCACATTAGAGTTTTGCATGACCTCCAGGTAGGAAGTGAACTCTTTCTCTAGGCTGTTTCTGATCATTGCTCTTCTCAGTTTTCTCCGACGCACACTTAAAAACACACTGAACACGCAACAGCGTAAAAATGATCCTGACCAAGTAAACTTCTTCTAATCAATTACATTAAAACAATCGAACTATACTTTCTCTTCTCTTCTGTCTCATCAGGATCCCCACAGACGTGGACCCCCTGACAGTCTTCGCCTCTTTGTCTCCTGAGGGCGTCCTCATCATCGAAGCTCGGCAGACACCTCCATATTACCTTTTCAGCGACGAGGGATCCCAAGGTGGTGAAAAGCAGGAGGTGGAAGCCTCCAAGCCCCAGATGGCTCCTATGGTCTAAACACATCATTCTGGACAATCAGTTACCAGTTTGATGTGAAATGTGTTGCCTCTAGCCTCATGTTGTTTGACACCTGGAGGTATTTGATGTCCAGATTAAAGTTAAACCAGGCATTTGTTTTTTCTGTTGGAAAATCTATTTTTACAAGCTCAGACAATGATGAAAAGCGTCATTTTCCCATTAACAAATAGATGCTTATGAATTTTCCAGAATAGTCCAATAGTCCCTTTTTTTTAAGTAATTAACAGGTGTAATTATGAAATAATTTGGCTGTTTCTTTTCAGGTAAAAAATTTGCCCATGGCAGAGTTTTTAATAAAAATTGTAGAAGGCCAAATGTAACTGCTTTTTGATTTCCTTTCAGTCGGGCTCAATTCAATTTTTAAAACTTTAGAATCAAAGAAAATCATATAAAAGTGAAGTTTTAAGTGTAGCAGCCTTTCCAGCATATATTTTTGTTCTTTCGTTCGCCTTTCCTTCCTTCAGTTTCTATAGGTTTTTTTATTTAACATGATGTCATTGAAATTGACAAGAAATAAAGGTAATATTATATTTCTGTGTATCCAGAGGGTGAATTTTCTGCATTAATGCACACAATATATAATATTATTTCACAGTGTATTGTAAATATAATAGTGCCAATTCATTATAAATCTTAATCTGAAATGTTCTGCATTTTGCAATATGGTTTGAAATTTTCTTTTCTATTTGAGCATTAAGGATGATGGCTGCGTGATTGTTGGAGAGGACAGACTGCCTTCTTTTCTGTTGATGTCTTTGTATTGACTGATGCAATAAACATGTCCAGCCAATCGCCCAGTGTGTCTTAACATCTGTGTCTTACATTGAGAACTGTGCCACTCGAGGGACCCGTTCCAGGGCTCCAAAGAGCCTGTGGTGTTATTGTTGGATAAAAGAAGGAATTGGGCAGCAGATTAGCGGAGGGCTTAGTGCTGGGTGAGACTGGCATCGCTGTGTGCTGCAGAATGGGCTGAACTCATTGAGGCAGCCCTGCCAGAGCCTTTGAATGCGAGTGTAAAAAAAAAAGACTGGGGCCGTTCCATTGCCCGTTGTGTGATGCAAAATAATGTAATCTTCCCTGTGCATTGGAATCAAGAGGGATGATCGGTTTGAATTGAAAAAGTTTCCAATCTGGAGTCACGCGGTGGAAACAACAAAAGGCTTGGACTGTTTCGGCTTTCCAAAGTCACCGCTGTGTGCGATGTGTAAGCTCACATGAAGTGTTGCATTTATTGGTATTATAATCATGGACTTCAATTATGCTGTTGCCATGGCAGCAGCAATACTGGAGTCACACCAGTTTTTCTTTTTTTTCCCTTAGGCAAGTAATTCACGTTGAACTGACTAATGCACAGCTGTGCAAACATATAGCACCTGATTAGTGTCAAAACCACTTTGCTGAAACAGCTTGATAACATAGTTTCAGAGGTAATTGTGAATATGATTCTTACAAATGTGATTCCTTGTTGCTGATAAACAGTTTCAAAATCACACATAACAACGCATTTTATAATTGTGAGAACATAAAACCATTAAGACATTAATAACATGACACACAGCATATTATTTATTGTTTTCACATGCTAGTGCTTTATTGGAGCTCCACCCATAGCGAGGCTGTTATATCTAATGACTACAATGCATCTGTGAGACTAAGCAAGGCAAGCAGTGCTGGCTGTTTCATTACTTTATCACCATTATATTGTTTTTATTCAGTGATCTCTTGCTGTATATTTGCTGCTTCCAATTGCTGGCTCTGGACCTGTTCCCCAGGCTGAGTTATGCTAGATGTGTCTGTGTCTGGGCCTTCTTGGCTTTCCACTGTTTCTGGCTTTGTAGAAGAATCTTGAAGGCCGTCTGTGCTTTCGTCACCTTCAGGCACTGAGGAGGGGGAATCTCCAGCTGGCTTTTCATGGGTCTCCTCTTCTGTTTTCATCCTCTCATCATGCTGCTGAAGCCCGACTGTGGCACCTTCAGGTTGGGCCTGATCTCTATGGACTTCTAATGAACAGCCTTCCCCGTGATCCTCTGAGGAAGCAAACTCTGGGTGGTCTGGTGCTCTCCCGCTCTCTTCTTCTTTCTCATCTTTTACCTCCGGTTCTCCATTATCCTCTACTATCACCTGCATTTATGCATAAATATGTTAAAAAAACAAACTAAAACTAAAACTAAATACCAGCAAAATCAAGACAGTTATTAAACTGGACATAATATGAAAAGATTGTTAGGAAACTGTCTATAAAAATCTGTATTTTAAAGGAACCGTTTCTTAGGAGCAAATCAAAAAGATCAATACCTCTCTGATGTCTGGGTGGTAAATATTGTACTGTTGTCATGTTTTGTGGCTCATCTACAAAAAAATAGTACATCAGATAATTCCTGAAATGTTGAATTTCTCCACATCTGTCTGCATCCTAATCTGAGTAAGCCACCCACTCGCTCTAGCATTGTGAATTACATGTGCCAGACAAATATGTCAGTGGTACTGATCTTTTCTTCCACCCCTTGGCAAGTTATCAAAATGTATAGTATTTCTTTAACCAACTTTAAAGTTATTAACACCTTTATGGGAATGGGGATTGTAGCAGGGACAGAAGTTTCGGGAACTGGAGCTTCCACGTTCAGAAAACCATCCACAGAAAATGTGGATGAGATTTTGGTAGCATCCATCTCCACTGGGAGCCTGATAATGACACAAACAGGTTTACAGTGGCATGACATACAAAGCGTAAGTACTGAAACAGATGTACCTAATATCTAAATGTTCAGTTCAGCAAACATTTGAGAGATTGAGTACTGTTGAAAAAATACCATCAGTGCTGCATGCTTGGCTGCTGACTAATGTTTTAAATGGCTTAAACTGCATATTTCATCATCTGCAGGTTATTGTCAGTGTTTACTTTGCATACCTGTACTTCCTTGTAAAACATCTGGCAATGAATCCATGCTCGTCTGGCCTCTCCTCGTGCTTCCCTGGGGACGGATTACCATTTATGGGGAAGAATGCGAGGACACACAGAGGAATCAAGCAACATAGAGAAACCACTCAACACGGAAATTAATTTCTGCCACAGAGCAGTGATTTTAATTTCCCCAAGCACATTATTTAAGCAGCTTTCTAATTTTGTTACATTCAGCTTTTTTCTATCAGTGTTTCATTTTAAGGATTTTTTTCCCTGTGAACTATAAGAAAAGTCTTTTTAAATAACTCTTTGAGATAATATTTGATAGCTAGATAAGATCTTTAATACTTCATTAAGACCCGAGACTATCCTGTGTGTAAAAGTAATTAGCAATGTTAATAAAGTGAACTCTTCAAGCTGTTTAATTAACAGAGATGTAAGCCAATGTTCTATACCTCTGACTTCCAGGAATCCATCTCTGATGCTGAGAGAAATCTCTGAGGGGGTGAAGTGAGCCACATCCATGATGACCCTCCACTTACTAATCGTCTGGCTTGGATGATGCATCGACCCAGAGATGTAGGGCACAAACAGCGGAGCGGGTATGTACCCTGGCCAGGAGCAGGCTGCCAAACTCCTCTGCAACCAGTCCACATCCATCCAGCGAGCATCCCCTGACTCCAGGAAAGATGGCAGGCCAGCATCCTGACTGAAAAGCTGGCTCAAATGCCACCACTTTCTCAAGGGGTACCAAGGGGCACCCCTGCTGTACTCCCCACACGATGTGTCTGCTTTGACCTGTTCGCTCATATTTTGAGAAATGAAAGAAGATTTTAAAAAGGACACAGCAGATTTCTTCTGATGATAGTTAGCCAGTAAATTATGAACTCCTGAGGCTAAATCAGTGAAATTCCAGCAATTAAAATCTGCTTAAAGGACAAGGGAAGGATAAAAGCAAAGTGTGATGAGACACAGAAAACTCAGAGGGGGTTTATATAGTGCTCCTGTCCATTTTAGCACTTATTAAGCACTCATGTGATCCCATGAGAAGGCTGCATCGGCATGGGGTGATGTGTGTGAAGACGAGGCTGCTACCTTTTGCTGGCCTGAACAAGGCTGCAGACTAATTAGTTATATTTATAACTTTTATAGGCAGGATGGCAAATAGGCAGAAGCAGGCTATGGCTGGCTTGTGTTTGAAATGTTACATGTGTCGCCTGAAGACTGTTCCTCTCACATCCCTGTGAACTCTATTTTGTCAGCAGTGACTGGACTCCTCAGTCTTGTCATGAGCCAGTCATAACTCCCCTGAATTTTTACCCTCGAAGGACATGCAGTGGTAACAGTTTGTCTCGGTGAGAAGACAGAAGAAGACAAAATTGCTCCTTTTTGCTGTTATTTTAAATGTTTCAGTGGCATATGTGTGTGTATCCAGTTTACAAAGCTCCTTTTCATTCCATTTTTCTTTTCCCCACCACTTTCAGAATGATTATCATTGTTCCCGCTTTTATCAAGTGTGACAGACACATCACTGCTTCATTTTTAGAGCTGTGTGCCCTGAGATCTTGGCATTAATGTCCACTGGACCACAAAGCAAATTGAACAGATGTTTCTGACACTTCGTGTGATGCCTCACCCACAGATTCTGTCTGCGGGATACGCTGTGAGCGGTTAAATTGGGATTCTTGCCTGCTGCTGCTGGAGTTGCCTGAAAAATTGGTTCCTTTGTTTCAAACATCATTAAAGATTTCCATCTCTGCTGAAAGAAGGACACACAGACTGATGGTGCAATAGGGTCTTCGTACTCTTCGTTAAACTAGCTGGGGTGGGAGTGATAAGAAATTTAACAGTTATGTGGAAAGAACAAAGCAGGGTGACTACAATTTTTAGGACTTGTTAGAATTATTTTTATATATATATATATTTTTTTTTTGTAGGTGTTATTTAATGGAGGTTCCGTTGTGTTAGTTTAAAGAAAACATTTAACAGCAAAATATCAAATTATATTCTCAGTTGTGAGGTTTTTTGTTTGTGATAGTATATCTGCCTTTTTTGTGCATGTGTAGGGTATTTTTTTTTTCTTTCTTGGACAAATATATTATCAGCCAATATGTGGGCTTGCAGCTGTACAGAAACACTTGCTAGCCAAGCAGGTTTCAGCAAAACACCAGCAGCTAATTTTCCTGATTACTTCCTCCTCTGCACTTCCTCTGGTTGTTAATTAGTGGCAGAGGTTCAAGTGGCTCCTGTTCATGTCTTCTCTCTTTTCCAACCTTTTTTTTTTGTTTGTATATGTCTGAAATAAATAATTGGACTCAGGGGAAGAGCGTAATCTTTTATATTCAGCATGTTAAGATTCAAGGTTAAACTCAAGAGCTGTCAATATGGAAGCTATAAGGTATAAAAAGGTAGGTTAGTCACCTGATTGTTCTTAGATGAAAAATTACTTTTGATTTCCCAACCACATTCTGGTTAATTAATGTTGAGTGATCTCATTCAGAGGGCTCATTTAATAAAATATTCTCAAACGTCTTGATCAAAACAGCCAGTATAATCACAAAACTGAGTGGCGATTCCCTAAAGCGGTCTTTAACCAAATAATGAACTCTGATAAAAACAAAGAAAGCTGAAGTAATCTGTGAACAGCAATCTGTGAATAAAATGTCTTTTTCATGGCAGGTACTGTATACTGGTGGTGAAAAGGCACATTCAGAAACTGGAAGGTAATTTATTTTAAAAGGTAAAAATTATATTAGTTTACACTTTTCCACAAAATAAAGTAAGAAGCAAAAATCAGAGGAACGGAAGAAAGATTTGTCACAATCATGGGTCATTTGACCCAGCGTTTTGAGTTTAATACATTTTGATGTTTATGGTTTATGTTTAAGTTCATTAGCTCAGCGGTTCCCAACCTCCGGGCCACGGACTGGTACTGGTCCATGAGTCGTTTGGTACCAGGCCGTGAGAGTGGAGGCTAAGGAGTGAAATTTATGGTTTTCAGGGTTTTTATCGTGAACTCGGTTTCCCTGGGTCTTTTCCCGTGTTGTAGTTGTGTGTCTTATTTTGAAAGAAATATTTATGCGTCACCATAGCGACCAGAGAACATTAAGGGGCAGAGAGGAGGATGTTACGCTCAATGTTGTTGCTGCATTTCAGGAGGACGCTGCTAATAAAGTTACACAATAACACACTGAATTTGAGTTAATTATTATATTTACAAAATACCACCGTTTTTGTCTTGGTCGTATCATTTGATTTTGTTGTATTTGTCCCCGACACCTTAAAGGCTGGTCCGTAAAAATATTGTCTGACATTAAACTAGTCCATGGCACAAAAATGTCCATGGCATTAGCTTATCTAAGTTCATTTTTATTTTGCCAGTGTTGCCCTGTTATAGTTCATTGTTTCTTAGATTCCCCTTGTGTCTTCACCCCTGTGTTTAAGTCTCCCTCGCCCTTCATGTGTTTCATGTCTGCATGTCTTATCTTGTCAAGCTCGTGTTGTCATGTCCAGGTCTCCTAATGTTTCCTGTTTTATTTTGCAGAGGTCTGGTGTCCCATGTTCATTGTGTTTGGTTTCACTTCCCCTGTGGCATCATTATGTTCATTCTAATCAGCTGTTTCCTCGTGTGTTTCCACTCCCTCTGATCACCTGTGCATTTAGTCTGCGTGTTTTCATTCATTGCTTCTCAGGCTGCCTGTCGAGTTCTCATCATGTTTCCAGGTTTTTAATCATCGTCAAGGTTTCGTTCTTTGTCTGTTGTGTTTAGCATTTAGTTTTTCTCATTTTAGTTCTAGTCAGTTTCACCTCAGTGTGCATCTGCCTTTTGTTTTGTACCTTTTCCCAGCCACAAATAAACGGCTTGCTTTTTGTTAAATTATAGTTTAGTTCCAAGTGTCTGCATTTGGTTCCTCTTCCTTCCTCTGTGACACAAGTGACAAGTGAAACTGTGACAAGATCTTGGATGAGTCTTAGTAGGAGTAAGTCTCTTCTCTCCAACAAGAACATAGTGGGGATAGCTTAGGTTTGCAAAGTTGCAATTGGAACAAACCACAGGACTTGTGGAACAATGTCCAGACAAGAGCAAAGTGGAGACCAAAGGTGCTTCAGTGGAGCAGTCAAAGTCCAAACCTCAACCCAATAAACTGCTGTCCCAGGATCTGTGCACGAATAAATGCCTGTAAACCTCAATGAAATGAAGCAACAGTGTAAAGAATAGTAAACCACAATTGTTCCACAATGATCTGATAAAGCGATGTAGAAAATGATTGCTTCAAGTTACTGCTGCTAAAAGTGGTTCTAACAAGCAACTAAATCGTGGGGCGGGTTATTCACAGCACTGCTTGGAGTCCCTGAAATCTTTCTTTTTCACATTACTCTTCATAAGAAGATTGGTGGATGGAGTTAGATACTTATGCATGTAAACAGAAATTCTACATTTGATGTGAGAAACAGAGTAAAAAAACTAATTTTCAAAAAATAAAATCACACTGCTGAGAACTGCTGCTGAGATAGCAGCACTGATAAAGAAGTGTATGAAGTGAAAATCCTAAATGGCCGTCACATCCGGGAAACCGAGTGAACATGAATATAGGAGCAACACATGGAAAGATGTGTTGTTGTTGTTAGCCTCCATAGACAGCATGACTCCAGCCCAGTTCAGTACAGTTTTGTTTGTGTGTGTGCTAATGTGAGAATAAGGGGGAATGAGAGACTTCAGAATATATTCTCTCAGATGATGAGTTTCCCCACCCCACTGTAAACACATCATTGCCAAATCGTTTTGATGCTTTGAATCAGGATTAACTTCAAAGATCACTGGAACTTTATTCATCTCGCCCAAAATAATAAATGTCTTTTGAAGGAACTAGACTCCCTTTCTCCATCTTTTCCATCTTTTTTTTCCTGATTTCTGATTCATGCCATCCCATCTGGCAGCTGCTAAAAATCAGAACATCTTCATGGTCCCTCCTGTTTTCCTCCCTTGAACTGCTAATACCCTTCACAAGTGGTATCTTTATATCTCTCTGTGTATGTGATCCCTTTCATTTCACGGCAGGGCTTCTATCACTCATTCATCAGCCCCTCCCCCTCCCCACAGGCCACGCAGAGAAGACTCATCCAGACCTGTCACTTCGTCTACTTTTAATGGACGCTGAGTTTTCTCTTTACGCAACTGTGTCGCAAAATAAACAATTCTAGACCCAGACGACAACACATCTTGGACTTGCAGTCAAACAATGGGGAACGCATCCGTGACCCAGTTTACTTTAAGGCGACCTCCGTGTGACTCCAGTGAGAGAGGATCTGTGAGAGAGAGTTTTGAAGGCAGTTTTCCTAATCAGGAACACAGATGCTGTCTTATCCCCCAAAGACTGCCCCCACTAACAAAACACATTTGAAGTAAGACATTGCCCATTTTAAGATGATTAGAGCCACCTATGCACAGGAGAGGGCTCAGCAGAGGCCAGTCACACCAAATCAAAAGGCTTCAAACAGCCTGCCATGGATCCGCAGGATATTAGGAGATAATGCATCAAGGGGGATGAAGTGTCAAATGGCTGGTTTGTTCCTGTGGACACTGCATTCATCATAGTTATTGCGAGGTTGGCTCAGTTGGCCGTCTGGCCGGCAAATAGAGAGACGTGTCTGTATCAGAACTGACACATTACAATGGGGTAACTTATCTATCGAAATATATTTTGGGAAAGCTGTTTTACAAGTTATTGCAGCTAGTAGGGAGTCAGAAATAATATCGAGCAATGCTTGAACATGGAAAAAATGTTACTGCTCAAAGAAATTTGTTCTTTGAATTGGTTCAACCATGCCTGCTGCCAATCCATTGTCTCTATTACTACAGCAAACAAGAAGGCGGCCATATACAGTGTAAATCACCAAGGAAGAAAAACAGGCAATCTCATCTTCTGCACTTTCCGGCTCTAAAGTATTGCATTTACAATGCTTTTGATTCAGCTCTCAGTGGTGCTGTTAAGACAAATGCAATACTAACAGCATTGGTGTGTGTGTGT